ATGTATGTGAAAGTTTTTCCCCTCCAAATTAGACAATCTCATTTTATTGCTGAATGGCTCCTCATTGACTCTCCAACAAGAGTAACTACCTATGTCTAGAATTTGTGACTTCATACAACACAGTCCCCACTTACGTGCCTGGCTTTTCCTCTCTCTCCTCTGATTTGCACCCCCCATTCCCAGGCATGCCCACTTCCTCGTGCAAGGTGGCATACCCACATCTGTTCACTCTGCTGCCTTTAGCAGGAGCCCCTTCCTTTTAATCGCAGACTGTTAAAAACACGCTCATCTTTGAAGGGTCAACCCAGGAGACTTTTAGTGTCCTCTGTATACTGTTTGGCCTATTAATATTTATTATGTACCTACTGTGTGCTAGGATATGGTGAATAGGACACGCCTGGTCCCTGTCCAGTATTCAGTGGCTGGATTGGGCATTAGAAGATGACGGGCGATGGGATTGGGAGGTAGAACCAGGCTGTAGGAAGTGTGTTTGCCATTCCCAGTTCACCTGGAGTGTTTATCCCAAGCAGAGCCCGTGGCTGCAGGAGCCACCGCCACCCTGGAAGGGAGGCAGCCTCTGCACTGCACCCTCATTCCCTTTTGTCCTTTCACACCTCTCCACCGAGCCTGGCAGTGATGCTAACAGAAGTATGTCATCAGCAAACATTACTTCTCTATTAGCTTGTTTCTCAGTTTTGATTCTGAAAATATCCTGATTTAGTCTAATTGCAGTTTCACTGTGTTCCTTAGGCAGCGAGGGTTCAGATTTGAGAGAGCAGAGCCTTAACCCTGCAGGATTTTTCTTCCTGCTCATCTGCTTTGAAGCTGGACCATTAGCTCTAAGGCAGGCATCTCATCTCGTTGCAGCGATTCAGCCTGCTTCTGGGGAAAAGAGAGCCCAGGGTGTTTGGTAGGAAGAAAAGCAGCATCTTCATTCTAGGTGGCGGGAGATATTTTTCTATATGTAAAGCAAGGGCTGCTACTGGAATCATTTTATTCCTAAATAATTTAACTATATTCAAAGATAATCTGATGTTATTGTAGGAGAGTGTATTTCTAATAAATTCCACTTGATCTGGGTGAATCAATTCAGGCAGCGCATAATTGAGTCTGTTAGCAAGGACTTTAGCAAGAATTTTGCAATCAGTGTTAATTAAGAAGATGGGACAATAATTTGTGCATAATTCCAGATCTTTTCCTGGCTTGTGAATCAAAGTAATAAGAGCAATGCTCTGGCTGGTGGCGGGATACTGTCATTAGGTGCTGATTTATAAGTACTTAGAAAGGTTTAATTTCATTTTGCTTGGAGCAGGGTCTCCCTGCCCCCACATTCCTTGCTCAGGGTGTGCAGGCGAGATGGCTGAGAGCTTTCCTTCCTCTTTTTCCCTGTCGTTGATGGCCTCCTGCTCCCCATTTCTGCTTTTATTCTGTAGCTGAGCACCCCACTCACACTCATGTTTTTCTTGATACTCTTATTTGAAGTCAGGGACTCATGTTATTGATATTTTGTGTATGTGTGTGCCTGCCTGCATGCATACATGTGTGCATGGGTGCACATGTAACACACACACATGCGTGTGCATGTATAACGTAAAGCCAAAGGGTTGTACACAGTTCACGGGGGACATTTCTTCACGGGTCCTCCTGCAACACGTGTCTGGGTGGGTGGGTATCAAGAGCCCTTGAGTGCAAGTCAGGAACACACCCGGTTAACATGCTGCTCCTGACTGGCTATTGACCAGTAAGGGAACAGATGTGAGCCTCAATGTCCCACTTGTGAAACGCAGCCATAGGATACACTACAGGCATCATGGGAACCACAAAGAGCACTGGGCTCTACCTCCTGTTGGCTGTGGGACCACAGGGTGTAACGCAACCTCTCTGAGCCTCATTTAGCCCCTTGGGAAACACATGTTGACGACAAGTCCTCCCTGAACCGCGATTCCTTACTCTGCCTCCACTAAGGGCTCGTTCCACTTCTCACATGCTCTGCTTTGGGGACTTATTCTCCCTAACGACGAGGACAGGGCTGGCCCTGGGCCACGCTGTTGCTTATCTGGAGCATTGGAGCTCATAAACCCGTCTCCCCAGCCTTCTAGGCAGTTCCTTCCCTGCCCAATTGGCCTCCCTTGAAGGCGGGGCCGGTCCACACAGGCCTGTTTGGATGCACTACACCTGTGAAAGCAGCAGGGGTCTGCTCACTCCTCCGCAAACACGTCATTGGACCTGGAACCTAGCTGGTCTGATTTGTAAAGACCCTGAGAGATGGCCCACTTTTCTTTTTCTTTTTTGTTAATCCTCACCTAAGGATATTTTTTCCCATTGATTTTTTGAGAGAGTGGAAGGGAGGGGGAGAGACAGAGAGAAACATCCATGTGAGAAAGACACATTGACGGTTGCCTCCTGCATGTGCCCCGACCGGGCCTGGGGATCGAGCCTGCGACTGAGTATATGCCCTAGACTAGAATCAGACCTATGACCCTTCAGTGTGCAGGCCAATGTCCTAACCACTGAGCAACCCTCTAGGCCTCTATTGATTTTTAGAACGAGTGGAAGGGAAAAAGGGAGGGGGGCAAGAGAGAAAAAAATTTGATATGAGAGATCGATTGGTTGCCTCCTGCACATCCCTCAACCTGGGCTGGGGATGGAACCTGAAACCCAAGTATGTGCCCTTGACCGGAAATTGAACCCTCAACCCTTTGATGTGCGGACAGATGCTCTAACCACTTAGCTACTGGCCAGGGCTGGCCCATTTGTTTCAATGAGAAAATTAGTTCAGAGAGATGGACTGGCAGGTTCAAGACCATACAGGAAGTGGTGGAATCAAGGCAAGAACCAGGTCACTTCACTGCTATTTTCTTGCCATTCCCATTACACCTCATGTCTCAGAGCCACTCACAGTGGGCATGCTCTTGTCATTGGTGCCACGGAGTCCTCTAAGGCAGGAACTGTGCTCATGTACCTGACATCTAACTGTTGGTCTGCCCCGGGTGAAGGTCCTCCCCACGAGTAGGCCAGGAGCAATGGCTGTGGCTCTAATGTCAGGACTGCTTAGCGTCAAGCCTCTGGGGCGAAGGTTGAATGAGAAATGGAATTCCAAAAATGACCCGGTCTTGGCGTGCATACACGTGCCTGTCACGTGTTCACACATACTCATGCCCCACCCACCCACGCTGCTGGGTGAGATCTCTTAATAAAAATCCAATTAGCATTTTTTAAAACTTGCCTCCAGATGCTCAGTACCATTGCCCCAAACACAACATAATGCCCCTGGTTTTCCATTTCCATCAAGAATTCAAGTAGCATCTTGACTTGTATATACTGTATCAGCAGCAAAACCATGGAATGCTGACATCCTTAATAATCGCAATTAGTAATCAGTTGTTCCTTAAGTAGTTTGATTACACCGGTTACCAAATTGTACGGTCGATGCATTTGGGGGAAGAAGGGTCTCGCCACCCCTCCCCCAGCCGTCCCTGCTCCCTCCCCGTGTTCTCAGTGGTTGCTGAGCCGATAGGCACAGAAGAGAGGCAAGGACAATGCAACTGTCACTGATATTAAGCAGCGGAGGCTTGGCATTAGTAGGAAGGAGAACTAGATAGTTCTTTGCCAAAAGACCAGGCCCAGAAGTGCCTGTGGAAAGACAGTCTGTGCCCACTCAGCCGAATGATCACAAAGGAGCTGGCCTGCCCATGCCAGTCTGAGCTCCCTCTCAGGACGAAGACTCCGTGCCGGGGGCTGGATACCACCAAGGGTTCTGCAAGGATCTTGCCCTTGCAGAGGCTGAACTTGGGTGTGAAATAGTCAGTGGGTTATAAAAATTAGCCGGCAAGGCCGTGTGCTCCTGTAACTGATAGAGACGGAGAGCGTTAAGCTCTGGTGGGGGAGGAGGTGAGCCTGCCGGCCGGGTCAGCAGGAGTGGCCTTCCAGGGGAGGTGGCCCTGTGTGCGGGTCTGGAAGGACAGGGTACGCTCTGGCCTAGGTGAGCAGAGGGCACGTCTGACCAGCTGGAAAACAGCACAATACAACTAAAAGTAAACCTCAGGTCAGGGAAAATATTTTCAGCGAGTATGACAAAGTGATTTTATATATATGTTACATGAAGAAGTCTTTCAAAAGGGACAAAAAGCAAACAAAGAAATGAGAGCTATTGCCCATGGACCTGAACAGACAAGCCACGTGTGAAGAGGTCTACAAGGAAAACAAAACCCCGCGGGCAAGACTGTCCTGAGCAGCAGAGAAGCAGAGAAAGGACGCGAGCAGGCACGGAGAACGACCAGGGTGCACGCATTAAACTGGAGGTTCAGTACCAGCTTTCATCAGCAGCAATGTCCAGGGTGTGGCGAGACATGGGCACTCATGCTCAGAGGGAATAGAAGTCCTTTCAGAACACAAGTTGGAAACTTTTATATCCTTGTTGCAGTAATATGGCTCTCAGGAATTTATTCTAATATATAATATAACTCAAATCAGAAAAAAGCCCTAGGAATGCCAATAAAGATGCTAATTACAGCATTATTGATAGTAGCAACAATGTACACAGAGCTTCCCCCTCTGTAGGCATTTGGTTTACATATTTTGTGATGAATCACCTCAGTCGGTGATTGAATTAAGATGACGATGAAGCACCGTGAAAAGTGCTTTAGATACAGTAACTCTACGCAGCAGAACACAAGATTATACCTCCGACCTGGTTCTGAGCAGGGCCATTGACTTGCAAATGGACCAGCAATGAAGACACACGGTGTTAGGATGGTGGTGCCTTGGGCTCACCTTTCTCTTTTTAAGCGTGTCGTATGGGGCTCTAACGGTTGCCTGTGTCACACATGGATACCCACAGTCTATGCTGCACGTGTGCATGTAGGGATGTAAGAATCACACAGCCAAAAACTGTCTTTTGCTTTTTCAACCGTCCTCCCTCCGAGCTCCGGGAATGGCCCACTGCGTCATGTCACATGCACACGTGATAGGTATAGTTTCAAGCACAGGAGACTGGTTACCTAGGAGCACCCCGGGGGGCAGCTGGGCCGAGGGGTCTTTCATCCAGTCGTCGTTGGCCAGTTCTATCACGGCGTCCACGTGCCGGACCTGGGTGCAGATCACGGTGCGCACCGTCTCCTCATCCCTGGTGTCCAGCGCGGACTTCAGCCTCCTCACCAAGTCTGAGCTGAGCGGGTGGTCGGGGAGGCAATCAGAGCTGGACATTGTAATGGCGTCTGCGTGTTGACCAAGCTTCTTCTCTGCTCAGCTGAGTCCCGAGTTAGCAGCTGTGGTGTGGGGACGCTATAAATAGAAGAAACAGGCTTGCGTTACCCCCGCCCCCCTCCTTCACAGGGAGGCGGGATTCATCTCCCTGAAGCCCCAGGACAGACTGTGCTAGAGAGGGGCAGTAGATGTGTGGTGAGGGGGGTCGGGAACAAGAGGGGGCATATTTGAGAAGGAAGTTCTCACCGGTGCTGTTGGACCCCGTCTTCTTTGATCAAGAGAGAGGCTCTACCTGAAACTCTAAAGACTGGGCTTGGAGCCTCCCTCTGTGGAAGGGGCACTTCAGCATGTCCACTGTCGGCTTCCTCGCTTCATCTGAAAGGAGAGTCGGCCTGGCTATAAACTGGACACACTCTGAACTAGAGAGAATGGGGGGAAATCTTTGGTTTCCAATTTCAGAGACCGACTGGCTGGTGTCAAAAAGACAAACGCACCACATAAGTGAACAGGAAAGAGTAACCTATGTGTTGGCGATGTCTCCACACCCCTCAGGGCTGGTAACTTGGCTTAAAGTACCCGATTCCACCACCGTGCCAGTACAACGCCCCTCCTGTGGTTTCTGTGCATTCCCGGGTGGGGGGGGAGGTTGGAGGCTTTTTTCTCATGACCTCTATTTCTGTTGGTCCTGGACCCCGACATTAACCAGGGCACAGAGCCCAGCTGCCCCAGTACTTCCCTGTATTTTGAGGTGACCTGAGGGGCCCAGGCTGCGCCATATAGCTTTCAAGAAATTAATACACTTTTGGATTCTTTTTTGAATTGAAATATATTTGCTATATAACATTGCGTAAGTTGAAGCTGTGCAGCAATGTTAATTTGGTACATTTACATGTTGCAATATGATCACCATGTAGTGCTAGCTAGCTCCTCTGCCACCTCACATGGTTATTGTTTCTTTTTTGTGGTGGGAATAATTAGGATCCAGTCTCTCAGCAAGATTGGTGTTTATAATACAACTAGAGACCCGGTGCACGAAATTTGTGGGGGGGGGGGGGGCGGGGAGGGGAAGGGGAGGATCCCTCAGCCTGGATTAGGAGAGGGTGCAGGCCAGGCTGAGGGACCCCACCAGTGCATGATCAGGCCGGGAAGGGACGCGGGAGATTGGCCAGCCAGGGAGGGACCACGGAGGGCTCCAGGGCATGTCGGGCCCATCTCGCTTAGTCCCCATCTGCTGGACCCCAGCAGCAAGCTAATCTGCCAGTTGGAGCATCTGCCCCCTGGTGGTCAGTGCACATCATAGCGAGTGGTTGAATGGCCTTGGCATATCATTAACATATTATGCTTTGATTGGTTGAATGGACGACCAGACACTTAGCATATTAGGCTTTTATTATATAGGATATTGTTGTCTATGGTCACTACATTGTGCATTAACTCCCTAGGACTTATTTATCTGCTAGTTGCCAATTTGTGTCCTTAAAAACGTTTCCATTCCTCATGTGGCTTTTATAGAGCCTCCTCCACCATGCACCCCTATCCTACCACCTCTTCCTTTCCTCATCTCCCCTTGAGATGGTTAATTTTGTGTCAACCCGGGCGGGCCACAGTGCCCAAATATTTGGTCAAACATTATCCTGGATGTTTCTGCAAAGGTGTTTCTTTGGGATGGAATTAATATTTAAGTTGGTGGACTCTGAGTAAAGCAGATTATATTCCATAATGCGGGTGGGCCTCATCTAATCAGTCGAAGGCCTGAATAGGATAAAGACCGATGCCTCCCAAGCAAGAGGGCCTTTGGACTTGCACTGTAATTTCTCCTGGGTCTCTAGCCTGCTGGCTACCCCACAGGTTTTAGACTTGTCAGTCTCCACAGTTACATGAACCAATTCCTTAAAATAAGCCTCTTTTTCTCTAATACTCCCCTCCTTCTCCCTGCTCCCAGGTGCCTCTATGCAGGTTCTGTTCCAAACATTGACACTTTTTGCAACATGTGTGGCACCTGCATTTGAGGAGCTAGCCCTGGGCTCCTATCTATGTCTGTTCTTCCTCCTACCTCACAGAGCCTGGGTCTTCCTTGCTGTGACAACATGCCTGGCCCCTGTGATAAATCATATTGAAGTAAGTCAGTAGTGTCAGTCCTAGTCTCCTTTGCAACCCAGTTCTGGCCGGTGAGAGTGGGCATGGCCTGCTCTGGTGCGTGTGGGGGATTTTCTGCTTTCCTGATGGAAAGGGACATCATGGCTGGCACCCTCCTTTCCCTTCCTTCTTCCCTTGGGCCTGGGCATGGTGTGTGGAGCTGGGGCAGCCCCATCACAGTGATGAGGTGACACTCTTGAGATGGAGGATCACTACCTAAGGAGAGTGGGGCAGAAAGAGGGGGCGAGATGGCTCCTCGATGACATTTCTGAACCTTTGTCCCACTTCTGGGCTGCCAACCACTGGACTTCATGTCTGTATCCCAAGAGAACTGTCCAGGTGCTCACTGTGAGTGCAGTGGCAGATGTGCCTGGCTGGGAGGGTACTCTGTTCACGCTGCCATTAAAATCAATGACATGTCCTGGCTTCAGTCTCGAGAGAGGCCGCAGAGCTGGCTCAGCCTGTGCTGAGAATGTGAGTTAATCCCCCGAGGTTTCCATGCTTTGGTTACTGGACTCCTGCCTTCCATGATTATCTCACTGTTGGTACAGGGACAGCAGCCAGCCCCAGAGTCCCTGAGTGGAGGAATGATGGCCACGGCCTGAGGTCATCAGTGAGCAGGCAGCCAGGCCCCTGAGGGACTGCCTTCCAGTGTCACAGGGATGGAAAACAACCCTAGATGGCCACATTCCTGGAGTCACTGGCCGCTGGCTCAGCCTGGAAAAGAGATAGGAACCCACTGGCTCAGTCTTCGGTTCAGGCATTAGGCCAGCTTGCTGAGAGTGTGGTTGGCCCCTGGTTCTCTCTTCAGCCAAAGAATGATGGGTGTTGAGAGATAGTTTTGAACCTGAATTTACAAGCACAAATGCTTTGCATTGCAGCATCGCATGCCTTACCTTAGAGAGAAATTTGACACCAGCACATTGGTGTAAACACAAAGAGAGGGGGAGCAGTGACCACGGGAAAAGGGTCGGGGTTTGGGCAAGGTAATTTAAAGAAATAAACCGGGGATGGTTAGCGATTGCTACCCAACTTCAAATCAGAAGGGAGGTGAAGAGGAAGCACTTGTGAGGCAGATAATAAGATGACAAAGCCTGGAACAGCGGCGCTCGCTGATCTTAATTACCAAGCGATCTGCTGGGTGTTTAATCAGAGGCACATACGCTATGCTAATTATTCCGGCTAATTTCGTTATAATGCAATTCTTTATCAACCCTGCTATGTATAAATTAGGAATTGAAATGTAACTAACACAAATTATATTTAAGGCAACATGAATTTCTCTATTCCAGTGTGAAATCTTCTAATCTCTATTTCTTTATCTTTTCTTGTTTGATTAGCTCATGGGGATCCTCCCCTCCCCCACGGCACCAATATTTCCCCCTCCACTTCTTAGAAATCTTATATTTGACTTTCTCCTTCTGCGACTGTCCTTGAAAGGTGCGGAATACATTGAAGCAATCAATGGCAGGCGGATCCCGGCTTTCCCTGGGGCAGATAGAGGTCACTTCATTGTTCTGCTTTAATTTTTCAGCAATCATCGGAGGGTCCCCTAGTTCACGAATTCTCAGTGACATATTGATTGTGACTTATGTCAGGTTATGTTCACAGATGTGTTTAGGTAGAGGACCGATAACACAGATCCCCACCGAGAAGCACGAGTATTTTGTGGAAGTTTTAATGTCGCGTGCTTTGCCGCCCACGAGGTCAGACTGGTGTGGAAGTCGGCAAGCTGTGCAGTGCCCACGGGCATGCCGCCCGAGGGCACCAGCTGGGAACTTTTTGAAAGGATGCTCTCTTACATGATAGAGACCTTCTTTCTAAAGGCAACAACCAACGTGAGATTTAATGCTGAGACCCAGATGGTTACTATGGCCCAGGACAATGCAGTCCAGCCAGCCATGATCACTTCTCTGTTTCATTTCGGAATCAATCGAGAGGAGGCGTCAGAGGGGCTCAGAGTGCCAGCTTCATGACTGACACGGCCACTGAAGCAGGTGTCTTCAGATCAGAAGCCGGAGGAGCTTGCCGTCGATCCCTGGATCAGGCACCACACACATCATTGGCAGCCCTGAGCCTCCTTCCCACCTCGCTCACCAGGACTGACCCTTCTCAGGACGCAGAGAAACCAAGACGACCCTCTCCTCAGACAGGCAGACCCCAAAAAATCCAGAAGGGGCTAAGCTATGCAAGCCCCTCCCAGGGGGCCCAGTCAGGTCTTCCAAGGAGAAAGAGATGAGACTAGAGGGAGGCTGGGCGCAGCACACGGTACAAGTTCATGCCTATGGACACACAAGGCCAAGGGGACCTCTAAGAGTATTCTACACATTTTGAGAAGTTTTAGCCAGTACAAAGCCAGGGCAAGAAATAAGAATGATAAATAGCTTTAAAAAATCAAAATGATCAACCGTTATCTGCAGATGATACCTGTATAAAATCCGAGCGAACCGATGGAAATATATTAATTAGAACTTAACAAAAATGTTCCGTAAGCTAGCCTACTGCCCTCCCAAATGAGCAAAATTAATAGTTTTCCTATAGACCAGCAAAGTTAGAGACCTGGACAAGGTGCACAGGAGAGAATCCTGGGAAATAAGGTCATGCTAACGTTCAGGAAATTCAATAAAAGAAGAAGAGAGAAAACCTGCCTTGTTGATGGCAAAATACATAACAGAGCTACAATAATTCTCAAGGGCGATGGTGGCAAAAGAAATGATGGAAAATTCACAGAAGAGAATAGAAAGTTCAGAAACAGAAGTCAGAAATAGGTTTAGGTTATAAAATAGCATTTAATTCACGAGGAATGAAAGGATGTTCTATAAGTGGAGTTGGGATAACTGGGAACATACAAAGTTAAATCTGTCATATTATGCACCAAAGGACGTCCCAGATGATTAAAAAATTTA